TTCCGACCCTAAATCTATGAAACTATGAAACTATGAAAAAAGGCTGTGAGAGTTTGCAAAATTTCTGAGATAACAGGTACTACCAGGGGGCTGTGCACTGTGCCTCAGATCAAGGGACCAGGATAAGTCAGCAAGGCAGGATCTGGCACAGGCAGCCACCAGCTGAGCTCAGTGTTCCCACTCACTCTGTAGGGGCATGTGGGCCACTTGGTGCTTGCTGCAGGCAGCTTGCCTCCCCTGCCCCCCTCCCAGGCTGGGCAGTACTTGCCACCGGTGCTCCAGATCCCCTCCCCCACTTCTCCTCTTCCAGGCCAGTAAACCACCCTCTTCCCTGTGCAAGCTGTACATTCCCTGTACATTGTGCTCTGTGTGCCCGCTCTTCCCATGCTACCCAGGCTCAGGGGGTATATGGGGCTCTCAGCCAACCTCCCAGGAGTCCTTTTTGGAGAGGCAGCTCGGGGCAGGCCCATCCCAGATGTGGCCTGCACCCTGAGCGTACCCCTATTGAGTGCCCTGGGTGTGCTACAATGAGTTTTTTTCACACACCGAGGGGTGCCTGGCCCACTACTCCCTGCTGCTTCTGATCACTTTGGTACCCTGGGCACACTTAAGAACTGGGCGTGAGACCCTGAGCTTCAGTGGTACAGCAGACAAGCCCACACTTCCCTCCAATGTGTGCCACCACCTGTAGGGGTAACTGTACCTATCCTATGCATCCCTGCCTCCTGCAGCTGAGGACAACATTGCCACAGGTATCAACACATTTCTCCACATGTGAGAGGCCCGTGACTGCCTTGCTGAGGGGGCACTGACTGCTCAGTAAAGTTTTGCACTGTCTCCCACTTCCCTGCATGCTGTGGTGGGGAACTTTGGAGACCAGGGGGAAGCTCAGCCAGGCTGAGTAGTGAGTGGGGGCAGGCATGGAAGGAGAGGAGACCTCCTCCCAGTGTGGGGCTTACTGGATAGGCATGGCAGGTGTCCCTAGCAGACCAAGTCTGTCCCCTCTGGCAGCAAAGATATGCAGCTCCTGCCAGCATCCTGAGGTTCAGGGGCATAGCGCCAGGCTGGCAGAGTAGTGGTCTCATCCAGGAAGGAGCTGGAGCTCATCAGGGCAGGTGTCACCATCCCCAGGCTGTCTTCCTGGGTGGGGCTGTACACCCAGAGTTGGCATGGCAGGTATTGGCCCAGGCTTTCAGAGCTGCTGGAAAGAGGCCGGGGGCAAGGAACTGGAATGTGCCCCTGGTGCCTTGAGGGGCCTTCCTTCTTAGAAGACTCACTGCCACTACCCGGCCATGGCAGAGGCTCTGTCAAGCCACCCATGCTGGAGAAGATGGCACAGCTTCACCTAGGTCCCAGGGCATGAGGATATGGTTCAGCTGCTGCACAAAGGGCATGGTCCTGCAGGCAACCCCCAACCAGCGGTTGTAGTAAGTGATGCAGACCCACTGCATCTGCAGGGCCTTGACCTTTATGCAGCACTACCATGCCAACCAGTCATGCCCACAGTCCTGCATGCAGCCTGCCAGGGACTTATAGATATGGATGTTGGTGTGCCCACCCTGGGCAAATTGGTTCTGGATTCAGTGTAACCCCACAACTCCATGAGGACCAGTTGGGCACCCAGGACACTGTATGTTGTCAGAGATGATGTCCTAGCTGCCTGTGGGAGGGTTTGGGATTGAGAGAGTGGTCGGGAGTAAAAAGGTAAGAAAGGTTTATTGACTTAACAAACACACAGCTATGCGTAGTATAACAAGAGGACAATGACAGACAATAACAATTCACATCAGCAACTTATCAGCAGTCCCCTCTGATGCCTGATGTACAACAAGTTCCTCTTCTATAAAGCTCAGCAAAATCAGGCGTCCCCGATCTGCAGTGTCTGAGGAGTACCAGGAAGGACCCTGGTATTCAGTCCTCAGGCTCCTCGAGATCCACTGGCCCACTGAATCCAGGTCAGCAGCTAATCTTTAAATTAGTAGCTTCTCTCACAATGCTGCATCTTCCTTCTGCTGATTTCCAGATGTGCTAGCCAATTTATAACTTCTGAGCTACGCTGTTGACTCACAGCCACACACTCTTACACTACGAACTTTTTTTATGACTGACCAATAGCAGTATAAGGCTTTGCATTTTCCTAATAAGGTTAATTTTAATTGTGTCACTACATACAAGGCCTTACTACTTATGAGGCCTCACTCCTTTTACTTTAATTAAATTCTTAGCAGCAACATACAGCTCACAATGTATGAACAAACAACAAGAAACATGTGGTCTAATCCTCACAGAGTGTTCAGCAAGCACCTTCACCACACAGACACAATGCTCAGCTGTCACAAGATGACACTAGCATGGCTCCATCAATGGCCCTCAGGGGCTGCAACCGAGAGTTCGGGTGCTGCCAGGCCATAGCAACTGCTTATGGTGCAGGGGCACAGTTCGTGGCAGGCAGGCAGGCAGGTGGTGGGGCTGACCCAGGGATCAGTGCCAATCTCCATGCAGGGCACAGGGCCACTGCTGCAGGACCTGGTGGCCAGAATGCAGGCAGCAGGTGGCAGAGGCTCCAGGGTCACCACAGTGTTTTAAAGGCCAGGCTGGAGCAGGCAAAGAGCCTCCCCAGCCCTGGAGCTGGAAAGCTCAGCCCCATGATACTGGGGCTAGCCTGAGGGTGGGCCCCTGGTGGCGGGGCTGAACAGGAGCAAATTTGCCCACAGTTAGCATCTACACATGTGCTACTGCATAGTAATTACTGTGCAGTTAATCTGCTACCTTCATTTGCAGGTAACAAACTAACTGCACAGTAGACTCATTTACTGTGCAGTAAACACATGCACATGTAAACAGTGATGCTTTATTGCACAGTAAATTAGTCCACTATGCAGTAAAGCATCTTGTGTAGATGTGCCCTTTGAGTGGGGAGCTGGACTAGATGATCCATCATGTCCCTTCCAGCCCTATGATCCTGTGAAAAAAAAGAATTAGAATTTGGTGCTGCAGGTATGCCTAATAGTACATATACATAGGATGTAGATTCTAAGTAACTAGTTAAGGCAAAGTCAATTTCTGAGGGCGAACAAAAATCAGGAGTAACTATGCTGATATCAGTATACTGAAGTCACATCAGTGTGAGGGGAAAATAATGTTCTGATCCTTCTTTACTGACCCTCTTCACAATTCAGTGAATCAGTGGTGATTTACAGCTAGCTTGATTTTCTTTGAAAATTGATCCTTTCTGAAGGAGGGGTTTCTCATGCACTTTACAGAAAAAAGACAGAATTTGAAATATAAATGCATTAGGAAAAGATTAGTAAGGGAAAAATAACCATTTTCATTTCAAAAAGCTGGTAAACTTCACCCTGAGGTTATGGGAGAGTACTCAAATATGCAGTTAAGAAGTCAAATAAAGGGTAAAACATAATCTTTTTTTTTATCTGACACCATATTCATGATACAGTATTTTTTATTGTTAATAGAACAAACATGGTTATTTTCAGAAACTACCTGGAGCTAATTGCCAGTTCAGTTGAAGACTGGGTGATGAAGGAAGAAGCCAAATACCAGGAAGAAAAAATAACTAAGGAACTAAAAGCCTTAACATTTGCTGAAGTAACAGCAGAAAGACCTTCTGAAGCTAAATCGTCTACCTTTGCTCTCAGAAAAACTGGTTCTCCCAAAACCAAAAGTAGGTGTGTTTCTATTTTTGTCATAGTAAACTGTTTCCAAACACTCAGTGCTAAAACCCAAATTTGTTTAGAGTAATATTCTGAAAATTTTCAATGAGAACCAATTTTCACCATATGAAGGCATGTGAAAATGTTTGATGGTAAATTATGTTTGCTTACATTTTAAAGTACTGTATTTACTCAACTAAAAGATGATGTTTAGTGAGTTTTAGCCAATTAAGTTTAAATAGGCCTCCCATAGTGGCACTGGGGAATGTACAGCCCGAGATGCCTAGTAAACTTTACTTCTGCTTAGAGCTGTGTGTGGGGGGGGGAGTCCTTTCAAATCCAGATTAGAACTGGTCTGATAAATGCTGAGCTGGGTGTGTGTAAATGTGGCTTGATTAGCATTTAGAGCACAGATTCTCCATGATGCAGTGCTCCCCTGCTTCTCTGATCCCAGAATTCACTGTGGTCTCTGCTTCGGGCTTTCTGTTCTCCATCTCTCATGTAAATGAATGGTCATCTGGTTCCATCTCAGATGCAAATGAGACCTAGGGCAGTTGTTTCGCTTTTGTCACCCTTATCTGGAGGGTTTTAGGTGTGTATCCCACTGCATCTTAATCAGTTTCTGTTTAGGTAGAGGAGGGGAGGGGAGGAGGGATTCTTTGTGAGTCCGACAGTCTGCGTCCTGTATCAGGGTTCCCCAAGAACATGGAGTTGAGAGGTAACAGCAGGGAGCTCCCAGACTCCACTTCATGGTTGCAGGGCCAGCACTGGGAAATCCTTATCTCCCAGCCCAAGTCCTGCAGTCTCCTTATCTCCCAGCAACAGCTCTGTGGTCATGGAGCCAACACTAGGCTCAGGCTGAGAGAGAAGAATCTCCCAGCCTAGATCCCATGACCATGGGGCTTGTGCTGGAAGATAAGGATCTCCCAGCACCAGCCTTGTGATTGCAGGACTTGGGCTGGGGAGATAAGGATCTCCCAGTGCCGGTCCCACAATCGGAGAGCAGGATCTGGGAGCTGCTTCGTGCTGGGGCAGGGGGACATTGTCCTTGCCTGGGTTCTGGTGGCAGAGCGCACCCCAGCATCAGGCAGCTCCCAGGGACAGGGAGCAATCTCCTGACCCCTACTGCTCAGTTGACCAGGAGCACAGTTTTTCCTGGTCAGGCGTTTACACATGCACTACTGCACAGTAAGTAATCTCAAGTAAATTTGCTACTTGCATTTACAGGTAGCAAATTTACTTGTTGAATAGAGCCAATTACATAAACACTTGCATGTGCAGATGTGGATGCTTACTAGACACTAATTAGCTCTGCTGCACAGTGAGACCTCTCATGTAGATGCGCCCGGTATATAGTTTAGAAGGATTCTTTTGTGAGGGACAACCAAAATCAGAAGTCAGAAGCTACAGGTTATAAACTAGAGGGTAAGCTGGGGTCAGAGCAAGGTTTTGAGAGGTGGGGGTTTTGAGCAGCATGTGTGATAATTTATGAGCAGTCAACAAAATCCCAAGGTCTGTTATTTTGTCAAGAAGTCATATATAGCAAAAGAATCACGTGTGACTTGTCAGTATTTTGTCTATGCTTTATAATAGGGCTGTGCAAAGCTTTAGTCCCTGATTTGATTCGGCCTGATTTGGTAGCTGAATCTCTGAATCCAAATTGAATCAGAGGACCCTTTAATCTCTCCAAATCGAATCATAACCCTCCAAATTGATTTGAAGAGATTCAGAAAGATTCAGTGATTTAGACATACAGACAGCTTTAAATGTTTTTTCTACATACCTCTAGGTAGCAGGGGCTTGTGAGTGCTGCAATGCTGGAGCACATGGAATGTCCCACAGAAGCATGGGAGACTCCCCAGCACGCTCAGCAGCAGACCCAGAAGTGGACCAGTAGCACTTCCAGTCCACTTCCAGATCTGCCGGGGAGTGCACTGCCCTTCCCAACACACACACACACACACACACCCTTTCTGCTCGACGACTGGTGCCTCCTGGGTCGGGGGTGACAACTGGGGTCCCTCTGCAGCCAATCACCGAGCTGGGGAGGCGTGGGGGGCTCCCCTAGCATGCTCCCTGGCAGACCTGGAATTGCACCAGAAGTACTTCCAGTCCATTTCTGGGTTTGCTACCGAGCACATGGAGGGCCCCACTCCCCCCACCTCACACTCCTGTGGGATGCTTCATGTGCCCCACCATTGCAGCGATCACGAGCCACGCCTTGTACCTTAAGGTATGTAGAAGCAACTTTTAAAGCTGTGTCTATGTCCGAATTGCTGATTCTCTGAATCAGCATCAAATCTTCAGATTTGGATTCGGCTGAATCAAATCAGGGACATTGATATCAATTAATAAATCAAATCACTGTCCCTGTTTTGGGTCAAATCCCAACCTAAAAGGACCCACTTTGCACACTCCTGCTTTATAATCTTTTTATCTTTGGGACCTTCTAGCACTAGAAGGTTACATAAAACGAGTGGATGTAGGATTTTGAAATGGGTAGGTGCAACAGCTCCACTTCCCCTTTTAAAGCAGATAAAATATACATTTGTGCATACCCTGAGTTACCACAGTTAAATGTGGGACCCTCAAAAATAGGGAAAACTAGGAAAGAAACCATTTTAAAACTAACAATCATTTTTTTCATTTCACATTTTTCATTCTTTCTTCTGTTTACTAATATCCAAACTATTTATTTTCCATTAGATAAAGCTGTGAAACCATAAAACCAAGTTGAGGACAGTAAAAGTATTTCTCTTACAACAGATTTTGATGGTGTTAGCACAACATTATTGCTCGTCTGGCAGCATCTGTCTTGTCCTTTGGCCCCATCATTGCAGTATCTCTGAATCTGCCATTACAGTTGTTCTAGGGTTAGGTTAGCCAGCTAAAGCATTGGGCCTTAATCCTAAAATAGCAATAATAATAAAATGTAAAACCTGGTGTTTATACAGCACTTTTCATCTCATCGTAACAACAAAGCTAATTTTAAGAACAGTACCTGCAACTGTAAGTCCTTATCAGCAGGAAGCAGGTCTTTATATGTGTAGGTGCTGTGGCAGAATACCATCTCTGTCACTCCCCAAACTTTGCTATGTGACAATTTGGTTACCCTGGTCACTGCAGAGGGCATACGTCCCATGGGCTCCAGGTTGTAACCTGGGTTGTCACCTGAGCTGGATACATTCCTGAGGGAGGGGGGAAATGTGCTCCCTCTGACTATGTGATTGGCATCACATACCTGGCTGGGGGGCTAAAGCTCCCTATTGTTCTAAGCAATGCCAGCCTGACTGGAAGGGGACTAAAGACCTTCCAGTCTACCCAGCAACCAGTGATGCAGTTCAAAATAGTTGGCTGGCAGCCAACAGTTGCTGGCCTTCATTGGATCAGGTAAATGAGGTCATAAGGTCTATATAAGTTAAGGACTGCCCAGGAGGAGGCAGTGGCCATGATGAAAACTCAGAGAGAAGCTGGACCATCTGAAACTTACTCTGTCTCTTGAAACTCATGATCAGTGAACTGCCTGCCTCCAGAGGGAACCTCCACCTGCCTCTGGATGATACTCATGAGTAAGCTACCTGAGATCTAACTAGATATGTAGCTTACAGTGACTCAGATGCACGATCAAAGGCTACCATGCCACTTTGCTCTAAGGCAGGGGTGGGCAAAATGCAGCCCGGGGGCCAGATGCAGCCCGCCAGGACATTCTATCCGGCCTGTGGGGCCCCTAAAAAACTTAGAAAATTTATATTAATCTGCCCTGGGCTGGCTGTTATGCAACCCTTGGTGGCTTGCCGAAACTCAGTAAGCGGCCCTGCGCCCAAAATAATTGCCCACCCCTGCTCTAAGGGATTTCTCTGATATGCTCTACCCTGTACCCTATTCCAAACCTACTCCTTGTAACCAATAAAGTTCTCCTTTGTACCTAGCATAGGAGATTTATTGGGAGAGGGTCTAAATTATGGCTTGAGGTCCCCTTGGTTCGGGTGACTAAGGGATACCACTATTTGTGCTTCAGACTGTGGGAAGTACCCCAAGTTCTTGCAGTGGGTCAGGTACCCTCAAGGGCTAATAGACCTGTGTTTCCCAGAGGGCACAGGTCAAGGATCAGCCCAGACTCTGGTTGGTGGCAGCATTACCACCAGACCAATGGGTGTGCTCCAGGAAGCAGGTCGGCCAGATGTGGGGCCCACCCCCCTGCAGGGAGGCACTCGGAGCCTAGAAGGTGGTCACGCACAGTGAGGTGGGTGGCTCAGTGCAGGAGCACCTCCTACTGGCCCGCCACAGGCGCATCTACTCTTGCAAATACTAAATGACTCTGCAGTACCTGCCAGTATTGTGCAGTCCAGCAGCACATGGGTCATTTTTGACCCTACTGCACAGTAGCAATGCGCAGTAGTGACAGTGTCATGGTTGGTGCCTGCCAACGCTACATTGCCATAGCATCTCATGTAGACGTGCCCTATGTGTAGTGACTAGCATACCAGAACCCTGATAATGATGGGATTTCAGGGCATTACTGTAATATAAATGTTAAATAATGATGGTTGTGAGAAACAAGTGTCTCTGCCCTGTCACCTTTCTAAACAGAGGGACAAAGGAGTTGAAACATGGAATCCACCCTGGCCCTCCCACTGAGCCAGGAATTCTGTTTTGCTTTTTTTAATATTACCAATACATTGATAATTTTGCTTATTTCTTTCTCATTTCTCAAAGGCAATGCTTCAAGATCTGAAAGTAAAGGAGAGATAACTCCAGAACTTCAACCTGAGAAAGAAAAAAAATATTTTATCAGAGAGGGTTCTCTCAAGGTGAGCCAAAAATGCAAAAAAAATCTTCTGAAATAAACTAATTATTGTAGATGAGGGACAGTAGAATTAACTTCATTAATTCATATATTTGTTGTCTGACCATTTTAATTTTTCTTATTCTTGGTTCATTATTGTTTGTTTATTTTGCTTATCTTTTATTTTGTTGCTTTGACTATAAATATTTAGGGAAAGATTGTTGGGATTGCATAAGATAAATATTCCTTTGGAAGTGATGTGGTGATGTTCTTGCTGTGATAGTACAGGAGATATGTGAGAAACAAGAGTTCTTGTGGGTGATATCTGTTATTGAATTAACTGTATGGTTGGGATAGACATAGGCAAACTTTTAGGTATCAGAGTACCCTTTGCTGTGTATACCAACAATACAGTTTGGTTCAATAAAAGATATCACCCACAAGAATTCTTGCCTTTGGAAGTAATAATGATCAATGGTGTCTAGCTTTGGTTGCTTATACAGCTATTATCGTTGAAATCACTATGGCCCAAATACATAAATTTAATCACATAAAGCCAGGCTCATAAAAATATATAAGCGCCCAAAACAGGACTTAGGCTGACTTTAGGTGTCTGTATCCAAAACGTATTTAAAAAAAAAACCCTCCTGAGTGGCTGCCTAACCATGGAGCTGACTGAACTCACTAGGCACTTCTTCTTTAGACCTGAAGGTTTCCCTGGACTTGCAGTTATGCTTCTTCACGTGCCCAGAATTGACCAGGTCTAAGAAGTTAGGTGCCTAGATCCCACCTAAGTGACATTTGGATCCAAAATCTAGGCCAAGCAGCACCTAAACTCCTAAGGGGTCCAATATGGTAGGTATGTTTGGAGCAGGGATAACACAGGTCAACAGGATTGTTCTCCTAACAAAATGCATTCCTAGCTGTTTCCTTTTTAAAACATAATTGCTGATGGAAGACAAGGAAAGGGAAATGGTAGTGCCAACCTTTTATATAATGCCTGCTAGTAAAAGCAGGAAACTCAACTGGAAAGAGGGACACCTAAGAACAGAGGTGGGCAATTTTTTCAGCTGGAGGTCTGCTTAACCTGTTTTGGTGAACTGTCAAGGGCTGCAAGGTGACAGGTGCCCCTTGCCCCCCACTCGCCATCTTGGGACTGGACATCCCACCCCAACCCCTGCCCTTGCCCTGGAAGTAATTAATTTTAGAGGGAGGATGCTGCCATCTTGAAACTGAAAAAAACCCTAAATCGTATACTAAAAAAAAATCAAACATCTACTATAACTTATTTTAATCTTATTTAAAAAAAATATTTTGTCCTGATTTATGTGAGTTTGTGTAGTGTATCTAGAGGCAATTCCATAATAGCTCAAAATAGTCTTACTCTTGTATATTGTGTGAGGGGGTGTAAGAGGGTGTATGTGGAGTGTGTGTGGTGGGAAAGTGTGTGTGGTGGGGGGTGGTGGGGGTATGGTGAGTGGGGGCATGGGGCAGTGTGGTGTAGTGTGTGAGGAGTGTGGTGTGAGGTATGTGGTTGGGGTGGGGGCTGCAGGACGGTGTGCATGTGGGGGGTTGTGGGGAGTGGGTGTGTGTGGAAGGGTCTAAGTATGTGGAGAAGCATGGTGAGGTGGAGGGGTGTGGGAGTGTGTGGGGGGCTGTGGGAAGGTGTGGAGTTATGGTGGGAGGGTAGGGGTGTGCATGGGAGGATGTGGATGTGTTTGGGGATATGCTGTGGAGTGCCATGTATGGGAGAGTGTAGGTGTGTGTATGTGTGGAGGGAGGTGTCCTTGGAGTCCCCAGAGCATGCCAGTCTCTGAATCTGCATGTGGTGGCAGCAAGCCAGACCAGCTCCACCCAGCCCCACAGCACGCAGCTCCCCACACTCCTACCCAAGTCCCTGGAGATAGGAACAGACAAGAGAGTAAACATATTCACCGACTCCCGATA